CTTCCTGCGTGCCTGACACGAACTCAGCATGCTACGTTTATTATCTTATGTGAGCCACACAACGCTCCTACAAAGGAAGTGAAAATCCTTAAAGACAAATGGTGGGACAAGAAAAAAGGCTGAAAATTAGCAGGTTAAACACCATCTCAAATGTTAGGAGAAGAACAGCACAATAGACTCAAAGTAAAACGAAAGAAAGAATAAAAACCAAATGCACAATAGAAACTAATGCTGTGTATTATTATTAATAAAATAAGATCAAATTAAAGAAAAATATACAATAGAGGATCTACAAAGCTAAATGTCGGTTGTCGTCAGTAATTTGAAAAGACTAATCAAACTGTTGCAATTTATCTTAAAACTGATAAAAGAAAAAAAGAGAATGTATCAGTGACCAATATAAGCAATAAGAAAGGAAACAAATGTCCCTTACAAGACTCAGAGCTAGAATCCACAACTACCTCTTGAGTGCATTATCCCCACTTCACATACGAGGGAGCTGAAGTTCACAGAGATTCAGTAACCTGCCCAAGTTCACAGAGCGCATAAACGGCAAAGATGAGATTTGAACCCGGGGTCCTGCTCTCCCAAGCCTGCTGGACGAATCGCTGTGCTATGGCGCCACCTTGCGAGGCTCCCCGAACCCGTCGGGCTGCCCGAGAAACCCTGCCCCCCTCTCTCGGGTTTAGCTTAGGGTTTCCACCGCCCACTCGCAGGGACACTTGGGCCAAAGTTATTCCAGCCCCTAAGAGCTGCAGACTCCGCTGCCTCCACAGCCTTCCTTCTGAAGTTTATTTGCGTTTCTCTTGCAGTCTCAACCACTCCTCTGCGTCCCCTTCGGCATTACTGACCTCTGAATTCCTGCGATGCCCTCCTGGTGGCAGGTTCTCGATTCGGAGCTGTATTCTTGCTCTGTCTCCACTGGGATGCCAGTCTGTGAAGAGTCGCTTACTCAACGGCCCCCAGCATCCTGGCATCACCTGTGAGCGTGTAGTAAATGCAGAGCCTGAATCCTAC